CGGTTCTTATTCGGTTCTTCGGTTCTTGGTCGAGAACCGAGAACCGAACCAAACCATTCGGTTCTCGATTCGGATACCCGTTCGGGTATTTCATTTTAAAAAACCCGCTCGGTTCGGTTCGGTCCGGTTCGGTCCGGTTCGGTTCGGGACTTTTGGACACCCCTACTAACTAATGCCCCAACTAATAGACTTGGACGGTATGGGAGTCTTCCGTATGGAAAATATTATCCAAGGAGGTTTCTGTCAATCTGAAAGGATAGTGAAATATTTCGGAATTGATGCAAAAGTCACGAAGATTATGAGCCAATTACCCTTAAAATAAGTATTAACTTAATAACTTTATTGTAAGGAAAAAATAAATAAATATATAAAGAAGAAGAAGACTTATTTCTCATATTTAATACAATTATCTTCTCGTTAGAGTGAAGAAAAAGGAATTTGAAGAGTGGTACCGTATTTATTTGGATTATGCTAAATGTACACAATCCTTTACACCTCTCTCACATGGAGGGAGGCCCACATACAATAAAATATTCGTGGGCCCCCCCTCCATGTGAGAGTGTTGTAAAGGATTGTGTAAATCATGGTGTGTACATGTAGCACAATCCTATTTATTTTGGCCGGACTATAATTTCTAGGAAATAACGGTTGACTTGGTCTCCCACATTTATTATTTCTTATTTATAATGAAAGATCAACTCAAACCAATTAAATATAAAATAATATCGCTATCACAAGTCAGCCATAGTTGTGTACTGATAATGAAACGGCAGATGCTTGTCATCACATACTTACAAACAATAATCTTCCAATATTTTCTGTCTCCCCATTCCTCTCAACTCTCTACTTAGAAACCCTCATCATTTTCTCTCTACCACTATTTTTCGACCAAACAATCAATATACGTCTTTCTGTTACTAAGTGTTTTCGCCGTTAAAAGTGAAAATTCTTGTAGGGTTGACATAATTTCCAAAGAAAGATACAAGAGTAGAACCAAGTCTCGATGTATCTCTCACCAGTTTTGTTTCCTCTTCTTGTTTGACCTACTCTCCTAAGAATTTCGAAACCAGTCTCATATTTCGATCTGTGTACTTTTCAATAGGTTCCAGCAAATACAGATGCAATTCCCTTATCATTCTTTCAGATATCTCTCTCTAATTTTATACGGTGTACTCAGTCAAGACTTGGAATCCTGTCTCATATAGTCTTGTGTGTATATAAGAGCGACACGATTCTTATATGCTATATAGATTGCCTATTTCCCAAATATTGGTCTGTTTTGATCTTGTACAGGTTCAAGTTAATCTTGCTGTTTTTTGTCACAAATGGAAATGCTAGATTTACAAGAGAAACAATCGTTAGCTGGCGATTCTCCAGCCAAAAGCTTTATATCATCATCGACAGAAACAGAGACTATAGCAGAATTTTCGACTTTCATAGAGAAACTAAGTCCAATTCTTGATGAAATGAAAGACAGCAATGTGGTCGCAGACCTACCAACCATTCAGAAGGCGATCGAATCACTTGAAACAGATATCAGACATGCCAAATCTGTCGTTGGAAGTCCAAATATTCAATCATCACCCACCAAGCATATTGAAAATTTGACGCAGAATCTGGGAAGATCATTAGGCCTCGTGCTCTTTGCAAGCCATGATGTACCAATAGCTAATAAGGAAAAGATTAAGGCGTTACGCCAGGAAATGATGAATGTCAGATTTGATTTGAGTTCGGAGCGTGAATCAGAATTTCCGAGTGAGGCAGAGGAGGAAACAATGGAGGAAGAAATCGAAGAGGAAAAAACAGAAAACGAAATAGAGGAGGAAACAGAAGAGGAGGATAAAATAACGTTGGACGTTGATGATGTTATGATGCAGATTAAGAATGGTAACCATGGAAAATTTAAAAATGCTCTTTTGAGGTTAAATGCACTCATCATGGATGGTATGGTTTCAAACGAAAGGATCAATGATGAAGGTACGATCAAGGTTTTATCTCAACAATTGGGTTCGTGTAAAGGAGATGACAGAGTGACTATAATTCAAATACTACGATATATTATCCTGCAGAATAATCAAAACAAGGTAATGTAAGTACTTGATGAGTTTCCTTACTTAACGTACTATTAATGGCATGTTTGGTGTACAGCCATGCCTCAACCGGACCGTACTAGACAGGACAAAATGACAAATGTTAACATATTACTCTCTTTAGTAATCCTATGCAGTCTCAGAAAGTCTAGCATACCAAACATGTTCTAGGTTTTATATATGACTTACATTATTTAGTAGTGTGCAGGAAGAAATGAAGGATTTTGGATTTCTATCGACATTAGTGAAGTCACTGGCACGGGATGTGGAAGAGAGAAGGGAAGCCGTAGGGCTGTTATTGAATCTTGCAGATGATCCAGAAGTCAGAAGAAGAATTGGGAGAGTGCAAGGATGTATTGTAATGTTGGTGACGATTTCCAATGGAGACGATCAAGATGCTTCTCGAGATGCAAGAAAATTGCTAAATGCAATGTCAAGCAATACTCAACATGCTCTTCATATGGCTGAGGCTGGTTACTTCAAGCCTCTAGTACACCATCTAAAGGAAGGTGATTTATTCCTTTTCCTTTCTTCCTGAGTACGACTTTTCATGTTTTATATAGCAAGTACATTGAGTCGAATTTGGGACGGGGTTCCTTTGCAGGCTCAGATATGAGTAAAGTACTGATGGCAACAGCAATATCAAGGATTGAGCTCACAGATCAAAACAAAGCTTCCCTTGGAGAAGATGGGGCAATCGAACCCCTCGTGAACATGTTCAACAAGGGGAACCTTGAATCTAAACTTTCAGCATTAAATGCGCTGCAAAGTTTATCCAGCCTGAAGGAGAATATCCAACTCTTGATTCATTCAGGAATTGTAGTAGCTCTTCTTCAGCTTCTTTTCACTGTGACGTCTGTTCTCATGACTCTGCGTGAACCAGCATCAGCAATTCTTGCAAAGATTTCTCAATCTGAAAGTATACTTGTGAAACAAGACGTTGCTCAGCAGATGCTCTCCCTTTTAAACCTGTCTAGTCCGGTGATTCAAAATCATCTCTTAGAAGCACTAAATAACATTGCTTCCCATTCAAGTGCGTCAAAAGTCAGGAAGAAGATGAAGGAAAATGGCGCAATTCAGCTTCTCCTACCATTCCTTACAGAAAGAAATACTAAAATCAGGACCGGTGCCTTAAATTTGGTTTATACACTCTCCAAAGATATACCGGGAGAATTCAGAGAACAGCTGGGTGATACACATCTGACAAATATTGCAGATATAGTTTCAACATCAACATATGAGTGCGAAAAGGCTGCTGCTCTTGGCATACTCAGCAATTTGCCAGTGGATGACAGGAAAATTACATTTTTGCTTAAGAAAGCGAACTTATTTCCCGTGTTAATTTCCACTGTAAGTTCATTGTCTTCTACTTCAACCCCTACAACGACATGGTTGACTGAGAGCATAGCAGGTATACTAATCAGGTTCACAATTCCTACTGATAAAAAACTTCAACACTACTCTGCTGAGAATGGCATAATACCTGTTCTTCTCAAGTTACTTTCAAGTGGGTCATCAGTTACTAAATCTAAGGCTGCTATTTGCTTTACTCAACTGTCTCAGAATTCTCTACATCTAAGTAAGTCGAGAAAATCAAAGTGGTTTTGCATTCCTCCTACAGAAGCTGTATGTGAAATTCATGATGGATACTGCTCTGTCAAAAGCACATTCTGTTTAGTGAAAACCGGTGCTGTCTCTCCATTGATTCAAGCATTGGAAGGTAGTGAAAGGGCATCAGATGAAGCAGTTCTCAGTTGCCTTTCGACACTTTTAGAAGATGAAATTTGGGAGAATGGGATCACTTATATCTCCAAAATGTCAGGAATTCAACCCATTCTCAAGGTTGTTGAATCAGGGAATTCAAAGTCTCAAGAAAAAGCCCTTCGGATATTGGAAAAAATTTTCAGAGTTGAAGCTCATAGAGTAGAGTATGGTCATTCTGCACAAATGCTTCTCATTGATCTAGCACAAAAAGGGGATCCTATATTGAAACCAACAGTGGCCAAGTTATTGGCACAACTTGAAATCTTGCAAGATCAATCTAGTTACTTTTGAGATGTTAGGTGGTTTTTCTTTTTTCCTTTTCCATTTGAGTTTTTTCAATCAAACTTATACTTGAAAGAGCCTCACTGTTTATTTTTCTATTGTATTTATAGTTTCCACAGATAGGTTTTTATTCTCTTCTCTTGTTCAACACAAAGATTGCTTGCACGAGTTAAAAATCTCAATGGCTACTGAAATTGTTTCTCTACATTCACTGTACTTTAAAAATTTTCGAATAGTCATCATACTTTCAACATAGTTTTACATATGTCACTCCATCTCATTTGGTTTACTAATTAACAATTTCAATGACATGGCAAAAAGAATCGCTATTTTTTAAAACGATCTAGACTGATAGATGAAAAACAAAAATTAGAGGTACAATGACCGATAGGAAACAATTTTGAAATTACAGTAATTATTCGCAAAAATTTTAAATTTAGTTACTATTGGGGAAACAACTTTAAAAGTACATTGAATAATTAGAAAAATTTTAAAGTTCAATGACCATTGAGAAACAATATTTAAAGTTAAATGACTACGGAGAAACAACATTAAAGTACAATTTGTTGCACTGCTTGATATGAATTATGTGGGTTTCGTTGATGAAAACAAACCTTGTCCATCTATTCATACCACAATTGACAGTAAGCAAAGTATACAGGTAAATAAGAGAGGAGCATACATATAAGTAAAGCAACACATATAATTGTATAGTAAGAAATGTTCTTCTGCTCACAGTAAGAAGCCTTATCTTGTTCACTTAAATCTTATTTATCGTAAACAAGGTTCTTCTACCACATCGGCAAGTTGACAGTCTTATCATGTCCACTATGAGCAGAAGAACAATTTCTGAAAAGAGCATACTTATTAGTAAAATGACATATATAATTGTATAATTCTCAATTCAACTAAGGGATTTAATCGTCTCATATATATATATATATATATATATATATATAT